GTGGCCTGTCCCACATGGAAGGCTAGAGTTTGGGTCTAGCTCAACCTAAACAGGCCAGACTCCTGGCAGGAGTCTGTAGTCCTAGCTGACTGGCAAGCTGAGACTGGGAGATCCCCCCAGACCCTGTAAAAAAAAAAACTTCTAGGCACCAGCAGATTACATAGTGGTTACATGGCTGGACTCCCACATGGCCGACCATGGTTGGAGTCTTGGACTCCTTGACTTTAAACTCATGCCAGGCTAGTCGCATGTGTGCCCAAGATCCCAAGAGGAGAACGGAGGAGAAGGGACTGCAGCATGGCCATCCCCGCTCACATGCACACAAAGAGCTCCCAGCTCTGCTCATCTGCTCTGAGCAAGCGCTGATCCTCAAAGGAAAAGGAGCACCTAAGGGTACCTGAGGCCTGGGCCCCCGCACCAAGCAAAAGAGTGCTTCCTACAACCTGGGTCCAGACTGTCCCTCCAAGCCGTCTGTCACTCAAGGTGAGGGCTAGTATGCCACCAAACAACAGCACTGACTAGGAGCTGGCTCAAAATGCAAAAATGCGGAATACCCCACCCCAACTTATCGAGTAGGGAGCCAGTGTGCATTTCTGTAAATATAACTTTATTTATTATTACTATTATTATTATCATTAAATATTATTATTTTCCAGTTTGATCAGAGAGAGAGAGGAAGAAAAAGTGAGAAAATAAGCCATCAGGTCCAGGACTCAAACCGCAGTCGGCCATGTGGGATCCAGCACCTCAAGCCACCACACCACCTTCTAGCCCCCAGTGTGTATTTTAACAAGAGCCCATTAATATGTTTGCATATGAATGCTTAACAAGTGTTGCTTTCACAACCTAAGTAAGGCAATGTCATAAGTACATACATGAACCAGAAACCCCTTATGAGTGGAATTTTTTTCCTAAGGTTTTTGTCACAGGACACATGCACTCACTAGAGAGACAAGCAACAGACAGTGAGAGGGAAGTGAGAAATGACCCCCCAGGGGGATAGCCATTTCTTCTCCATTTTTCTCCTGGGATTTTCGGCACACATGCATATGTGCCTGGCATGATTTTCAGGCAACCAGGTTCGGAACTAGAACCACAGTTGGTCAAGTGGGAGTCCAGCACCTTAACTGCCACACCACACACTGGTCCAGTGAATAGAACTTTTAACCCAGATGCTTAAAGACTGACTTTATGATTTATAAGAGGAAGTTTGTAAAGCTGAGTTTCTCATGCTCATCAAGGGTAAGAATTCCCTGGTGACTTCTCAGACCATCAGTCTGGGACAGAATGCATCGCTGATCTGGGATTCCGGCTCTCAAAGTCTATGAAGGGAATCAGAAAGATCCATTTCTGCTACCAGAACTTTAAGGGTATCATGGGCCAGCAGCTGGCCTAGAGTTTGAAGTATAGACCCCACGTGGCCAGCTTCACAGTCAAGTCCCATACCCAGTGGCTTAAGAATCACTCTGGGTGAAGGGCTGGCAAGTGGCATGGTGGTTAAGAGCACCCAACTCCCACATGATCAATCATGGTTTGAGTCCTGGACCTGGTGGCTTGTTCTCTCTCTCTGTCTCTCTTTGGTCAAAATTGAAAAATATTGATAATAAATAAATAATTATTTTTAAAAAAAGAAAGAAAGAAAGAAACGAATCGCTCTGGGTGAGACCAGCAGATGGTATAATGATTATGTCATTGGACTCCCATATAGTCAACTGTTGTTTGAGTCCCAGACCCGGCAGCTTAAAACTCAAGCCAGGCATGTGTGCATGCATGTCCAAGATTTTGAGAGGAGAATAGAGAAGGTATTGCAGTGTGGCTAGCCCCCCCTGGATTTTTCTCTTTCTGTCACTCTATCTCTCCAGCGAGCACACATGCCCTATACCAAAACTCTTTCTCTAAAAAACAATCAAGTTGGGCATGCATACAAGTGTGTCCAGAATGCTGAAAGGAGAATGGAAAAGAAAGGATTGTGGGGTGGCTATCCCCACCGGGGGTGATTTCTCACTTTTCCTCTTTCTGTCTCTCTCTAGCAAGTGCACATGCCCTATAGCAAAAGAAGTGTTGTTTCTTTTAAACAAGGCGAAAGGTGGAGTGCTCAAAGAAAAGGCACCTTGGACCTGCCAAGTAGGTCACATGGCAACACAAGGGAAATCCCAGATCCAGGGAAGACAAAGCTCCTCTGTCTTAAACACTGAGGGAGGCAGCACCAGTAGAGTGCTGGGGAAACCCAGCTGACTAGCTCCCACAAAAAAAGGCCTTATTTGCATTTTAAGCCCCCAAATAAAATTTCTGCAAATACTAAGACAGTGAGTGGGTCGGTACTCCTGAGAGTTCCCAGGGTAACTTCCCTGTGGGTGAGTTCTCTCCACCTCCATCTGTCTTGGGACGCTGCAGACCTTGAGTTTAACTTCCCCATCAGATGACAGTGGCAAATCAGAGTAGACACATCCCAGACCTAGAAGAACCGCTTTGCTTCACTGGTGAAGAGAATGACTCACCAAAGAACATCACATTTTTTTAAAAAGAAAACGATCACTTTTTAACAGCAAGGACAAACAATACAGGTTAGGAGAAAAACCTACTTCAGGAAAACAACTTAAAAAACACTTTCGAGAGACCAGCAGATGGCATCGTGGTTGGGGCGCTGGACTTCCATATGGCCAACCCACAGTTCCACTCCTGAACCCAGTGGCTTGAAACTCACGCCTGCTGTGTGCGTGCACGCCCAAACGTTCCTGAGGGAAGTGTGGACGAGAGGGGACTGAGGTAAGGCTGTACCCCCCTGGGGGATGAGTTCTCACTTTCTCTCTCTGTGGAGCAAGTGCCCTATAGCAAAAATCTCTCTTTAAAAAAAAAAAAAAAAAAAAAAAGTACACTTTTAAAAATCCCTAATACATGCTATCACATGGATGAACCTTGAGAACATTATGCCGAGGGAAAATAGCCACGAAAGATCACATATTATGGTTCCATTGAAGATGCAGAATGTGCTAATCTATAGAGGCAGAAAGTAGATTCGTGGTTGCTAGCTTGAGGAGAAAGGTGGGGTTCGAAGGTTAATGGCCAAAGAATTCAGGGTTTCTTTCGCAGGTAATGAAAATGGTCTAAAAGTGTGATGGCTGTAAAACTTACACGAAAAGCCATTGAACTGTATAATTGAAATGGATGACTTGTACATATACAAATCATCTATCAATAAAGCTTTTCTTAAAAAAATGTATGGCTCTGCACTAGGTCCACATGACTCAAAAACATGGGGTCCCTAATATTAACATAACACAAAGCCTTTCTGGAAAAAGATGAATAAAAGCTGGCGTCGGTACTGGGTAGTGGGCCTGCTGATTTATCTAACAAAACACTCCCATCTCAGTTTGGGGAAGGATTTCACGGTCTTGTCTCAGGATCATCAATCTCACAGAAATCCCCATCTGGCTTTCAGTTCCTGTTCCAGAAACACTGGAATAACCAAAACAGGCAGAACACAATTTCAAAACAACACCTTTACTCTACAGGGGCAAGAAGAGAAACAGAATCATGGGAGAGATGTTATGGGCTCTGTCAGAGTACAAAGTTGAGAACTGACTATTCTATAGAAACGCAGTTCCCAAGAAGACTGCATCTTCCCCAAGGAAAAGACTCTAAATGTCTTTCAAAAGACTCAATGTCTTAGTCGGCTTTTTGTTGCTGTAACTGAATCCCAGAAGCTGAGTGCATTATAAAGTAGTTCATTTACCTCACAGCTGTGATGGCTGGGAAGTCTGAGATGGAGGGTCTGCATCCGGTGAGGGCCTTCTTGCTATGTCGTGACATGGTGAAGGGCATCCCATGGTGAGAGGGCGAGCACACACGCGGAAGACATCTCAAAAACGAGCTGAGCTTGCTTTTGTAACAACCCGCTCTGGAGAGAACTCACTCACTCCGCTAATAACCCATCAATCCATTAATCCACTAATCCACTAATCCATGAATGGAATAGCCCATTCAAGAAGGCAGAGCTCTCATGACCTAATCACCTCTTAAAGTTCCCGCTTAGCCCCACTGCTTAATACTATTGCATGAGGGATTAAATTCCCAACACATGAACTTTTGGGGGACCCATTCAAACCACAGCACCAAAAAACAACACAAAAAGAAGAGTGGTGAAGAGAATCCACCCAGGAGGCCAAAGCTTTCGTAGTGACTACGCTGACTGACCTCAGCTCTGCTACCCGTGTTTAGTTTTAACCTAGACAATTTTTCTCCTTTCTCAATGTGTTCATTTCCCACCAACGGCAGAGGACATCCTAAGAAGTCCTGTGAGCACCCACAAGGACCTGTGTTGGCTTCACAGGCACAGCTGTTACCATGGAGGAAAAGACATGACAGAGGAGGTATGTCTCAAAGCAAAACACACAAAACCCTAGGGAGGCTTAGAAAGAGAAATCTGCACAACTATCAACCAACAGCTTCATCCTGCCCTAACAACCTGAATTCTCTCCAATCCCCAGGCAAATTAAAGAACCAAATGTTATTAAGCAATTAATAATGGAGCAGATGCTGTTGGGCTTCTGTGTTTATGATAGATTTCGGCTACAAAGGGCCTGCTTCAGTCCTTAAGGACAAAATAGCCTTCTCCATTGCCAAGGGCAAAGGAAACTGGCAAGTGCCTAGAACAGTGCCAGGTACAGACTAGCTATTCAATAAATACGTATTGAATGTCTTTTGAATGAATGCTGATATGCCCTTGGCAATCTCTGCCTCTTCCCTCAGCCTGGAAACACACACACACACACACACACACACACACACACACACGTAAAGCTGAATCCACACCTGTCATTGCAACCCTATCTGTGACTATACAAAATTGATAAGCATAACAATTACAGCTAAAATATAAGTTTCCAAGGACAGGACATTTTGTTTATTTTTTAATACATTCTAAGCGCCAAAACAATGCCTGGCATATAGTGGTCTCTTAATCACTATTTGTTTAAAACCGACTAAGGTAAGGACCTACTATGTGCCAGGCGCTTGTGCCAGGCCGACTTCCGCTCACTTCTTTCCAATCACTTCCACCCAGGGGGCACAGGCTTCCCCTGAGTCCTCCGATCGCCAGGGGACGCTGTAGGAAACGCCCGAGTTCCTGCTCTCGTCTCTCTCTGACCCCGTGAAGTCGCCGCCCGGAGCTAAGATGGCGGCGTCAGTGGTAGCGGCCGCTGAGCGACTGCGGCGGGCCATTCGAAGGTCGCCCCCATGGCGGAGCCCCAGCCATCGGCCGCTCTCAACCCGGGCCTCGGCCGTACGGGACGCCTTCCTCAGCTTCTTTCGGGACCGCCATGGCCATCGGCTGGTGCCTTCCGCTTCCGTGCGACCCCGTGGCGACCCTAGCTTGCTTTTTGTCAATGCGGGCATGAACCAGGTAGGGGCTGAGCCGACTGATCGGGGGCGGAGCTTGTGAATTTTCCGGAGAGGAAGGCTCTGCGGGATTGGGCAAAAGAAGCGAGGGGCGGGGCTCTCGGCCTTCGCAGCAAGAGGGCGGCGTGTGGTTGGGTGAAGTGACTGGGGGCGGGGCTTACTTCTAATTAGGACTTGGGGAGGCCGCGACCTGAGAACTTCAGGGTTGAAATTGAGTTTTGGGCTCGGGGATGGAAGGTGTGGACTATCTTGGAGGCGGACTGGTGGGGAAAGTCTATTTATTTACTCATTCTTTAAATAAAGATAACTCATTTATTAAGTAAATGCTATTGAACATCCACTACGTGCCTAGTAGCTTTTTACTTTAATCAACAACTTACCTTGTCCAGACTTAACTGTTCTCGTCTATAAAATAGGGGCGAGGAGGGTGGGGTAAAGAGAACGGGTAGGTTAACCTTATAGGCTATTCTAGGGAATGCTCAGTACCCTGTTGGCACCTTTCCTTTCTGAGGAACTGGGTTGTCCCCTCCCTCCACCCTCTTCATGTGCTTCCAGTTCAAGCCAATCTTCCTGGGCACAGTGGACCCACGAAGTGAGATGGCGGGCTTCCGACGAGTGGCCAACAGCCAGAAATGTGTGAGGGCGGGAGGTCGGCACAGTGACCTGGAAGATGTGGGCCGAGACCTTTCCCATCATACCTTCTTTGAGATGCTTGGCAATTGGGCCTTTGGGGGTGAATATTTTAAGGTGAGTCTCAAGGGAGCTTTCAAATGAAAATATTTGGGGCAGCAAGTGGTGTGGTGGTTAGGGGTGCTGACTCCCACATGGCTGACCGCGGTTCAAGTCCCAGAACTGGCAGCTTGCTTTCTCGCTCTGGCTCTCTTTCTGTCCCTCTCTGGTCAAATTAAATCAATACATTAATAAAGCTAAATGAAATAATTCTTTTTTGGAGAGGTTTTTGCTGTAGGGTGCGTGTGCTCGCCAGAAAGACAGAGAGACAGAAAGACAGAAAGCAAGAAATCACCCCCCCAGGGGGAGGGCCTCGCCGCAATCCCTTCTCTTCCATTCTCCTCTTGGGATCTTGGGCACGCACGCACACACACCCGGTGTGAGTTTAAGCCACAAGGTCCGGGACTCAAACCGCGGTTGACTGCATGGGAGTCCAGCGACATAACCATTACGCTAACTGCTGGTCCCTGAAATAATTCTTTAAAAAAATAAAAAAGAAAGAAAATATCAGTGGTTAGCCAATGATGGAGTTGAAGTAGTCCTGTTTCTTTTCTTTCCTGTGTGCTTAGGGAGGGCTTCCTAGAAGATAACAGAGATGAAGTGGTAGTTGACTGTATATAACTGAAATTGTTTTTCACTTCCCTGATTGGATCATAAATCTCTTAGGAAAGGGGCTATACTGGTCAAAATTGTTGTATGGGACCAGCCCATTGAGAGAGCTGGATCTTGGGACCAGCAGATGGCGTAATAGTTAAGTCACTGAGCTCCCACATGGCTGACTGTGGTTCAATTCCTATACATGGAGGCCTGAAACTCACACCGGGCCTCTGTATGAGTATGTGCCCAAAATCTCAAGAGGAGAGTGAAGGAGAAAGGATTGTGGTGTAGCCATCCCCCAGGGGGTGATTTCTTGTTTTCTCTCTGCCTCTCTCTGTGTCTCCGGCGAGTGCATGTACCCTATAGCAAAAATCTCTCTTAAAAAAATAGAGAGAGCTGGATCTCACATAGCTCACTGTGGCAGTTTGAGTCCTGGACTTGGTGGCTTGAAAAACATGTCAAGCACGTGTGCATGTGTTCCCAGAGGGAGAAATGGAGGAGAAGGGATTGTGGCGTGGTCATCTCCCCTTGGGGAATGCCTTTCCACTTTCCCTTTCTCTCTTTGTCTCTGTCTATCTCCAGCAAGTACATGAACCCTGTAGCAAAAAATAAAATAAAATCACCCCAGGGTAGGATGGGTAGAGTAATTCATAGAGAATGTGGGACTTCGGAGACTTGAAAGAGGTAGGATTTAGCAGAGAAGAGGAGGCTTTCAAGGCAGGAAAAAGACTCTGAGGCAAAATGGTCATGGCTTATTCTGGGAAAAAGATAATACAATGGAAATGGCTTTGTCTTAAACTGATGGCTTGGACTTATGTGGTTTGCGGGCACTTCAGTAGGGCCTCCCTCTCATCCACCTTTCTTTTCTCACCCCCTGTCGGTTTCTGCTGCAGGAGGAAGCTTGCTGCATGGCCTGGGAACTGCTGACTCAGGTCTATGGGATCCCAGAGGACAGGCTCTGGGTCTCCTTCTTTGGCGGTGACCCTAAGGCAGGGCTAGAACCAGATCTGGAGAGCAGGGACATCTGGCTCAGCTTAGGGTAAGTCAGCCCTCTTCTTATGCCCACTAGGAGGACCTTAGGAGGACTGGGAAATAGAGGTAACCACCACTGATTCTCAGCATCTCTGCATATTCCAGGATGCCGTAGGGTCAGGCTTGCTCCTCCTCTTGCTGAGCTGGGACTTGAAGGAGGAGCTCTCATGTCAGAAAGGGTCCCCGCTCTGGGTCTCTCTGTCCCCCACCACTCACCTAGCTTTCTCCCTAGGGTGCCTGCCAGCCGTGTGCTTTCCTTTGGACCACAAGAGAACTTCTGGGAGATGGGGGATACTGGCCCTTGTGGGCCATGTACCGAGATTCACTATGACCTGGCAGGTGGGGTGGGAGCCCCTCAGCTGGTGGAGCTTTGGAATCTGGTCTTCATGCAACACAACAGGTAAAGGGGTGCTAACGCAGAAGGACAATCCCTAGTCGGATGTGAAAACTGTGGCAGTCAGAAGACTTTGATCCAGTTCTTAAAAATCAAACATTTTATTTATTTATTTTTAAGAGGTTTTTGCCTTAGGATGTGTGTGCTTGCCAGGGAGAGAGGTACACAGAGACAGTGAGAGGGAAAGTGAGAAGTCACTCCCCAGGGGAATGGCCATGCCACAATCTCTTCTCCTCCATTCTCCTCCCAGGATCTTGGGCACGCATACACATGTGCCAGTGTGATTTTGAAGCCATGAGGTCAGCCATGTGGGAGTCCAGTGCTGTAACCACTACACCATCTGCTGGCCCCATAAAATCAAACATTTAAATGGCACTTATTAGGTGCCAAGTAAATTTCTTTTTTTTTTTTTTTTAAGAATTATTCTATTTAACTTTATCCATCCATTTATTTATTTTAATTTGACCAGAGAGGGGCAGAGTAAGAGAGAAAGAGAGAGAGAGGGAAAGTGAGAAAGCAAGCCGCCAGGTCTGAACTCAAATTGCGGTCGGCCATGTGGGAGTCTAGCGCCCTTAAACACCACACCACCTGCCGGCCCATGTGCCAAGTAAATTTCTAAACATTTTTCACATAATAACCATTTAATCCTGATCTTTGCCCATGACAGTTCGAACTAGTCACTCCTGCTCTGTGGCCTCTTGTTATATGGTGGAGTTGAACTTGATGATAGCTAAGATTTTCTTCTCTTCTTGACGTGTCTCTTTCTAAGGGCAGAGAATTCTGTCCTAGAAGGGGTATCTGGGATCTAAGCAAGGTCCCAAGCAGGGGTGAGGGTGGAGATAGCCCTTTATGAGAAAGTGACGGGAACCCAAGGCCACAGTCATCTACTGTTGGATGGGTGGGAGACTGATAGTGCCCATCTCGTGCTTGCTCTCTTTCCTTTTTTTTTTAGATTTTTGGCATAGAGCATTTACACTCAGGATCAGCAGTTGGTGTAATGGTTATGTTGCTGGACTACCATGTAGTCAACTGCGGTTCGAGTCCCAAACCTGGTGACTTAAACTCACGTCAGGTTGTGTGCATGTGTGCCTAAGATCCCGAGAGGAGAACAGAGGAGAACGGATTGTGGCATGGCCATCCCCCCTGGGGGGTGATTTCTCGCTTTCTGTCTGTCTTTCTGGTGAGCGCATGTGTCCTATAGCAAAAACCTCTTAAAAAAAAAAAAAAAAAAGTATATACACTCACTGGGGAGAGACAGATAGAAACAGAGAGAAAGAGAAAGTGAGGAGGCACCTAACCTCCCTGCCAAGGAGAGACAGATAGAGACAAAGAAAGGGAAAGTGAGAAAGCCCCGACCCCCAAGAGGGGATAGCCACACCACAATCCCCTCTTCTCCATTCTCTCAGGATTTGGGGCATCCACACACGGGCACCTGGTATGTTTTTCAAGCCACTGGGTCTGGAACTCGAACCATAGAGTCAGCCGTGTGGGATCCAGCACCTTAACATGCCACCTGCTGGCCCCATCTGGTTCCTTCTGTATCAGCCTCTTTGGGCCCTCTCATTTTTCTATCCACTTAGGCATCTACCTCGTTCCTATAATCCTGGGTGGGGTCTCACCTCTCACATGTTTCCTGACCAGAGAGGCAGATGGAAGCCTGCAGCCCCTGCCCCAGCGGCATGTGGACACTGGAATGGGCCTGGAAAGGCTGGTGGCTGTGCTGCAAGGCAGACGCTCCACCTACGACACTGACCTCTTTTCCCCGCTGCTCAACGCCATACACCAGGTAAGCCTGCCTTCGCTTCCAGAAGCCCCTCTGAGCCGTTCGTCACCACTCAGCCCATTGCTTTCCATCTTGGCTGAGAACTCAAAGTGTTACCAAGACGTGGGGACAGTAACCACCCCAGGATGCCAGGATGTAAAACATGAGACTAGGATTCCTTGCTCATGATCTGAGGTTGCTCCTAACTTCTTCCTGTCACTTTTTATGTGTTGGGACCAGCAGGCAGTGTAATGGCTATGTCACTGGGTTCCCAGGTAGTCAACCGCGGTTCAAGTCCCAGACCCAGTGGCTTAAACTCATGTCAGGCACGTATGCGTGCATGCCCAAGATCCCAAGAGGAGAATGGAGGAGAAGGGATTGCAGCATGGCCATCCCCCCCGGGGGGTGATTTCTCACTTTCTGTCTCTTTGTCTCTGTCTTTCTGGTGAGCGCACACGCCCTATAGCAAAAAAACTTCTCCAAAAAAAGTAAGTGTTGAGTGCCTGCTTTGGGTTCAGTCTCTTGTGCTTGGTACAGAAAACACAGCAGAAAACAGAACAGAAATCATGGAAATTACGTTCTAGTGTGAGAGAGACAATAAGTAAATGTGTTTAAGAACAAGATAAGGGGCTGGCCCTGTAACTCAGCAGTTAAGCACTGTGCAGAGGAAACCAGATTTCACACAGCTGACCAGGGTTTGAGTCCTAGACCTGACAACTTCAGAACCACACTGGGCATGCACACATGCTCAGATTCCTGATGGCGTAGAGAACTGAAGGAAAAAGGAGTGTAATGTGACCAGGTTCCATTGGTGGGTGCTTGCTTTCGCTCTTTCTTTTTCTATCCCGTGTGCATGTGCCCTCTGACATTAAAAAAAAAAAAAAAAAATCAAGATAATAGCTTACAGATGTTGAATAGACAGTAGGGACCAGAAGATGGCTAATGGTTACGTTGCTGGATTCCCACATGGCCAACCACTGTTCAAGTCCCAGACCCAGCAGCTTGAAACTCATGCCAGACACATGTGCGTGCATGCCCAAAATTCCAAGAGGAGAATATAGGAGAAGGGATTGTGGCATGGCTACCTCCCCGGGGGGGAGGGGGTGTGATTTCTGACTTTCTGTTACTCTATCTCTCTCTGGCGAGTACATGCACCCTTTTTTAAGATGCAAAAATCTCTCTTAAAAAAAAAAAAGACTTTGAACAGGTAGTGCCCTAAATATGGTTAATAGTAACTAGAAAGAAGGAGGTTCCAGAGGAATCTTAGATAGGGTGTTTGAGGAAGGCTCACCAAGGAGATGACCTGGAACCTGAAAAGGGACAATTTATCCACAGGACGCTTATGCAAGATAGAGGGGACAGCATGTACCAAGGCCCTGAGGCAGAAAAGGGCTTGGCATGTGGCAGGAACAAAAAGGCAGCTAGCCAGCTAACGTCGAATCACATAGGATGTAGTTGTGGAATGTGTCAGTCAGTTTTTGCCACATAACAAAACACCTTAACACTCTGGCTTAGACCAACAACCATTTGTTTAGCATGTGAGCCTGTGGGTTAGCAGTTTAGGCTGGACTTAGCTAGGTTCTTTCATTCTTATGTAAGCTCACTCGTGTATCGATGGTCAGCTGCTCTCCCCTGACAGTTGGCTGGCTCTCAGTTTGGGGCAGCAAGGCTGACTGGGCTGGCTAGCGTGGGCTAGTTCGCATTTCAGCTCTGTGAGATTCCAAGAAGAGCAGGAGCATGGGCTCAGAACAGTGTCATTTCCACTATATTCTTTTTTTCTTTTTTTTTTTTTTTTAGAGGGGTTTTCTATAGGGCGTGTGCACTTGCCAGAAAGACAGAGAGAGACAGAAAGACAGAAAGCAAGAAATCACCCCCCGGGGGTATGGCCACGCCACAATCCCTTCTCCTCCATTCTCCTCTCAGGATCTTGGGCACGTACACACACGCGCCTGGCGTGAGTTTAAGCCACCAGGTCCAGGATACCAACCATGGTCCATTACACGGGAGTCCAGCAACATAGCCATTACGCCAACTGCTGGTCCCACATTTCCACTATATTCTATTTGGGTGATGCAAGTCACAAGGTCAGCCCACGGGTGGAGAAATAATTCCGCTCCATGATGGAAAGCAGTATAGAGTCACATTGAGAAGTGACATGTACTCAGGAAAGGACTGTTTTTGCAAACAGTCTATTACAGAGAGGAAGACAGGACTCAAATCTTCTGAGGCCTTACAGTTCAAAGTGGATAGACCGGCAGATGGTGAAATGGTTACGTTGCTGGACTCCCACGTAGTCAACTGTGGTTGGAGTCCCAGACCCAGCGACTTAAACTCACACCAGGCACATGTGCATGCATGCATGCCCAAGATCCCAAGAAAACAATGGAAGAGAAAGATTGCAGCATAGCCATCCCCCCTGGAGAGTGATTTCTTGCTTTCTGTCTCTCCAGCACGTGCGTGGGCCCTATAGCAAAAAATCTCTCAAAAAAAAAAAAAAAATTCAAAGTAGAGCTATTCTTTTTTTTCTTTTTAAAGGATTCCTTATTATCACTATATTTTTTCAGTTGTGACCAGAATGAGGCAGAGACAGAGAGAGCAAGCACCAGGTCTGGGACTCGAATCGCAGTTGGCCACATGAGAGTCCGACACCTCTAACTACCACGCCACCTGCTGGCCTCCCAAAGTGGAGCTATTTTAAGTGTGGTGAGAAGGGTCATAAGGAGGAAGCATGTGGGGACAGCAAGTGGCATGGTGCTTAAGGCGCTGGACTCCACCTGGCCAACTGTGGTTCGAATCCTGGACCCGGTGGCCTGCTTTCTCTCTGTGTGTGTGTCTCTCTGGTGAGCACACACGCCCTCTAGCAAATTTTTAAATAATAATAATAAATAAATATTTAAAAAGAAAAAGGGTGTGATAAGAGATACACATTCATTGAATGTGTATATGTGTATGTATGGGTGTGTATGTGATGTTCTAGACAGGGGCTTGCTGTGTAACGATCTTCCTGCCTCAGCCTCCGGAGTACCTAGGGTCACACGCACAGGATTCCATGCCTGACTGTCTCAGATAGGGTCTCACTATGCTGTCCATGCTTGTCATGAGCTCAGCCTCCTTCCTTGGCCTTTGGAGTAGCTAGGACTACAGGCACATGCTCCTGCACCCAGCCTTTTAGGGTGGGCCAGGAATTGAACCTGGGACTCCCGCATAGACTCATCCTGTGGCAGCACACACTACCATAGCTGAGCTCTGATATACTTTTTTTTCCTTTCAGGTTTTTGTATCGGGTGTGTGTGTTTGCCAGAGAGAGAGAGAGAAATAAATCACCCAGTGACCATGCCCAGTCTCTTCTCAGGATTTTGAGCACATGCATCCATGTAGCCAGTGTGATTTTCTTGTCTTTCTCTCTTTTTTAAAAAATTATTTTATTTAACTTTATTTACTTATTTTAACTTGACCAGAAAGGGACAAAGTAGAGAAAGAGAGAGAGAGAAAGTGAGAAAGCAAGCTACCAGGTCCAGGACTTGAACCATGGTTCGCCATGTGGGAGTCCAGCACACTTAACCACCACGCTACCTGCTGGCCCCACCCAGTGTGATTTTCAAGCTGCCGGGTCCAGGACTCGAACTGCAGAGTCAGCCATGTGGGATCCAGCACCTTAGCCCACCACCACACCGTGTGCTGGCCCTCTGAAAGGCCACTCCTATTGCTATTTGGAGGATGGTGTGGAAGGAGACAAGAGTACCTGAGAAACCAACTAAGAGGCTATTATAAGTCCAGGCAAGAGACCGTAGGGTGTGGGTTAGGCTGGTAGCAGAGGAAGTAGAGAAGTGGTTTGGTTTGAGAGATCTCTTAGTGGGGGAAGCAGAAGGACCCCCTGATGGGTAGCTGGAAGTGGGGGAGACGTCAGGAGTGGCTCCCAGGTTATCAATCTGAGTGACACGGGAATGACAGCACTGTTCATTGAGATAGGGATACTTGTGGAGGAGACAGGTTTGGAGCTAAACAGCCCAGCTCTGCTCTGCTCACACCTCCTTCCCTGCCCCCGTAAAGACAGTAGAGGAGGAACAGATCGTGCAGAGCAGCAGTCCCCAACCTTCTTGGCACCAGGGACCAATTTCATGGAAGAAATTTTTCCACAGATGGTGGGGAGGGTTCAGGATGATTTGTTACATTTATCGTACACTTTATTTCTATTATTACTACACTGTACTGTATGATGAAATAATTGTACATCAGGAGGGGTCAAGCTCCTGTGAGAATCCAGCGCCTGCCTGTTCTGAAAGGAGGTGGAGCTTAGGCAGTAATGCGAGTGATCAACGCTGGCTGTAAATGAGATAAGGCTTTGCCTGTTCACCTGCCGCTGGGCCTGCCGCGCACCTCCTGCTACGTGGCCTGGTTCCTGACAGGCCGTCAGCGGCCCATGGGTTGGGGACCCCTGGCTGTCATCACAGATTTCCTGATGAGTTGCACGGCCTTGTCTCACTCAGTTCCTCTGAGCCTTGGTTTCTTCTGCTTTAAAACAAGGATGGCGAGCATAGTGGTTAAGGTGCTGGACTGCCACATGGCCAACCACAGTTCGAGGCCCGAACCCGGTGGCTTGAAATGCACAGTGGGCACATGTGTGTGTGCCCAAAATCCCGAGAGGAGAATGAAGAAGGGATTGTGGTATGGCTACCCCCATCTCTCTGTCTCTGTTTCTTTGGTGAGCGCACATGCTCTAATAACAACAGCAACAACAAAACTTTCTCTCAAACAAAAAGATGACGGCGCCTCCTGGAATGAGCTGTTTTGGGGATTAGATCTCAGGTTCAAGTACCCACCCAGTTCTGGTAGTAGAAATCAGGAGTGATGCCAGCGATGAGCATTGTCGAATGTGAGCCCCGTGAGGGCAGGATGCCCCCATTCACCTGTGGGCTTCTCCAGCTCAAGCCCAGCCTGGCAAAGCCTTTCTGGAGGTGGTTGGCCCCAGGAGTGAGAGTAGATGCCCTAGAGCTGATGAAGAACATAACTGGGGCCAGGTCAGGCTGGGCCAGCAGCCATGTCTTCTTCTCTCCTGCTTTCCAGGGCTGCAGGGCCCCCCCTTACTTGGGCCGGGTAGGGGTGGCAGACGAGGGGCGCATAGACACAGCCTACCGTGTGGTGGCCGACCACATCCGCACACTCAGTGTCTGCATCGCTGATGGCGTCTCCCCTGGGATGTCAGGTGCCCCGTGAGTCTGGAAGGGCTACAGAGAGGGACAGGGGCCACTGGGGGTTGCAGGGGCAAGGAGGGAAGGAAATGAAGAGGTGGGTCAGGTGAGATGGCAGGAGGAATGGGGGCAGGGAGAAGGCTTTGGGGGGCACACTCTCTAGACCTGTCCTTCCCCTCCCCATACTGGTGATGACGGGATGCTGGGGGTTCACATCTGGGCTCTCAACCTCTCTAGGCTGGTTCTTCGTCGGATCCTCCGTCGAGCTGTGCGGTTCTGCACGGAGGTCTTGCAGGCACCACCTGGCTTCCTAGGCAGCCTGGTGCCTGTGGTGGTGGAGACGCTGGTAAGAGCAGAGTGTCCTGCCTCCTCTGGTCCTCTCCCAAGAACCTGGGGACCTCCTACTGAGCCGAGACAGTGCTCCTGGCTTGGGCACTTGGGGCTCCCCCCTTAAGTGTACTCCCCCCCCCCACCCGTCTCCCCGCCGGGCGCACGCACCACACG